TTAGCGCACAAGTGCTCCAGCACTTCCACGCAGAAACAGCCAGTGGAGATCTGGCGAGGAATGAGGCTGGCAGCTTCCTTTATAGTGCTGGCCACTCCTCGCTGGGTCTGCATTGGGGCAATTCAGCCTCTCCCTTTGTCCCAGACCCTGCATTGCATGTGTCCCAGTATAGTCCCAATGAGGTTCAACTGCTGCTGAGGCACTTCGGCCTGGATTTTGGACTTGAAAGTCTGGATCTGGACTGACCCCTTGACTTAGACCAGAACTGGGACTGTGCCTACTGACTTTACCTTCGGACAGGCACAACTCTAAACGAACAGACACATTTACCACTTGAACAGACACTTTCCTTTGCACGAACAGGTACACTGCCTGCACGTACAGACACACTCTTACCCGAACAGACATGACATACACATCTCCTGGTGAACAGGTAAGTCCTTTGACAATGCCCTTTGCCTTAGATTTAGATGTACCTGTTGATAGAGAACTTGACCTTTGACCTGCCTTCACGTTTCTGAGCCCTGGCGAGATACCTTTTCACAATGCTTCACTTTTACAAGGCCCGTGCTGTTTTTCTTTTACAAGGCCTGAGGCCTATATCGGGTAAAGGCCCTTTTAATTTCCTTTCTACGCTCCTTTGCCATCGTTTTGTGTTTTCTTTTTCTCAAGAGGCGTGAACTGTGAATACCGGTCATGAGTATCGATAGTTGTTATCTCAAAATGATTATGAGATATAATCTAATGTATAGTATCAAAAATAACGATGGGGACTTACCTGGTGGCGGTCACCTGCGGTTATATCTGTCGTACTTTTTCTGTAAACAAAAAAGGGGAAAAAACTTAAAAAAAGTGCCCTCCTGTGAGAGACACATCCAAGCCATCGGAAACTGTGGTATAAGATCATGTCATCCTGTACACACGATGAAACCTGCGAATGGCAAAGGCCAAATGGGTGCAGTAGCTAGGTGGATGGTAGGGAGGGGATGTGATAAGAGAAACAGTCAAACTCACTCTGGTTGATATTGTATGAAAAAGGAGGGCATGGTGGTACACACTCCCAAGCAAGCAGAAATTAATAAAAATTTAAAAAAATGATGTAATTGCGAAGTAAATGATGAAACTGATCCAAGGAATCTGGACAGGAGAGATTCAATTCACAGCCAACAACCCCGGAAGCTTCAGGAGAGTCCCTTTGTCAGGTGTCTTTTCTGAAAACCTTTTATTACCTGCACCACCCCCAGACCCATCAGCAGCAGCATACTCCAGGGACTACCACTTTGAGGATGACCATGGTGGTGAGTTAGGCCCGCGGTGATCATCGCCAGGATGGTCATCCTTGGAGTGGGGGAGCTGGCACGGGTTAACCATCCTTTTTTTTCTTTTTTTTTTCCCTTTCTAAAGACCAGGTTGTTGTAGAGGCCCGATTCCAGACATATGATGGTTGCAGTCATCAGTCAGCCATTGGTTATCCTGACAATTGTGAGGCAACCTCCCAACCCTTCCCCTCAATAAATACTCCTAGAGCACCTCCTATCCACCCCACTATCCTACCTCAGTGTGAGTCACTCAGGACTATCATCCTACCATCTTGGAGGGTGACTTGGCCCGAATAGCAGGTATAGACACCAAGGCTGGGCATGCTGGCACACACGGGGACTTGTCCGCACTGTCCTAGCTTACCCAAGGCTAGGCGGATCACGGGCTAGCCAGAGAGACTTATATCCCTACCCAGCCCTGCTCCTACCAGTTCCTACTGAAGCATGTACTAGACACCACTGATCCCCTCCCCAGCCTGGTATTGTAGCTGTATATATGTGCCCGGAGGCTGTGTATGTGCCCATAGGCTATGTGTATGCCCGTAGGCCATGTATGTGTGCCTGGAGGCTGTATGTGTGCTGTATATGTGTCTGTAGGCTATGTATGTGCCCATAGGCTATGTATGTGCCCATAGGCTATGTGTGTATCTCTGCCTGTAAGCTGTGTGTATGTAAGAGTTGTACAGTTCTGTATGATAAGCCTGCCTGTGCTAGAAACCCCCCACCGAAGTCCCAAGCCAGACTCGACGCCAGACTGGGGCGATCATCAGAACACCCTATGGCCAATGTTCTTAGGCAACCCACGCATAGTCAAGACCCTGCGTACAACAATCTGGACTACATCCCTTGGTGGTGCAGGCATTGTCTGTTATCCTTACCATGCGCCTAGCCCGAAGGGGTTAGTGTGCACAGCCCGTCGGTGTCCATGCGCGAGGTCACAGGGTTTTGAACCCACAACCTCAAACCACAATGCGCATTTCTGACCACCAACCACTGCTCTACCCACTGAGCTAATCGGCATCCTGTGGGTGGCGGGCTGGATACGGGTTTGGCGGGGGAGGGGGAGGAGGGGTGGATCAGTGTGGGCAGAGGCGGGGTGAGGGTGGATGGGGATAACCATCCTCGGGGTGGGGAGTGACAAACGATAACCATGCTCTGGGTGCGCGGTTGGAAGGGGTGAGTGGTCCCAGGCCGATGAGCGCCAGTTGAGTTGGGTGTTACTGTGTGAGAATAGCCATCCTCGCAGTGAGGGTGGATGGGGATAACCATCGTCGGGGTGGGGAAGTGGCAAAGGATAACCATCCTCTGGGTATGCGGTTGGAAGGGGTGAGTGGTCCTCGGCCGATGTGCGCCAATTAAGGTGGGTGTTATTGTGTGGGGATAGCCATCCTTGGGGCAGGGAAGTGGCAAGGGATAACCATCCTCTGGGTATGCGGTTGGAAGGGGGCGAGTAGTCCTTGGCCGATGAACACCAGTTAAGGGATAACCATCCTCTGGGTATGTGGTTGGAAGGGGGCGAGTGGTACTTGGCCGATGAACACCAGTTAAGGGATAACCATCCTCTGGGTATGCGGTTGGAAGGGGGCGAGTTGTCCTTGGCCGATGAACACCAGTTAAGGTGGGTGTTACTGTGTTGAGGCTGGTGATTGGGTAAGATTGGGTGAGAGGCCGCTCAGTGACTGCTGGGCGGGTCCATCACCCTACCCCAGGGATGACCATCTGGCGTCTGGCCACCTCAGTGATCATTAAATCTTCTTTTTTCCCAGCCACACCAGATCTCCAAACCTAGTTTGAGGTGCGAGTTTCAGAGCACAGAGCATCAAGGGAAAATAAATCTGTGAGATCACCCAGCAGGCCTCGTTATCGCCAGTAGGAGATCATCACCTGGCGTGCCGGGGATTCACCACCCCTAACCCCGGACACGGCCCACAGATATGACCATTTGAACAACCCTTGTCCTCTTCCTTGAAAAAACTGGGCAATGGAGGAAGTAAATGAGACAAGGAAAGGGAGGATTAGGACTTGTGATGATTTGCTGCATTGAGCCTCACTGCTCGTCACCTTGAGCGCACACACACAATGAGAGATCACACGAAGTCCACACTGGAGACCAGAGATGTAAAGTCCAGCCACATAAGCGCAGCTTAGAAATACAAATGATCATATTAAGCAGTTTCAGAGTTACAGTCACCAGCGCTCGTCAGCGCAGAGTTCAGCAACCCAATTCCAGCATCCTCGTCCAAGGTAGGTGACTCTCTTCTCTCTCTGCCCGCCCCCCCTTTCTTTCTCTCTCTGTCTTCTTCATGCATCCGCTCACTCTCTCCCTCTACTCTCTCTCTCTCCCTCTCCCTCTCTATTTGAGGATCTTGATTCTGAATACATCCGCTGCTACTCAACTCTATCATCTATTACTAGCTCTTCCCTTTCAGCGCAGCACTGCCCAGCAGGGCTCTCGCGCTCATGCTAATCGCAGATAGCGCACAAGTGCTTCAGAAACACTTCCACATTTCCCACGAATGAGCCATCTACCTTAAAACATGCCTAGCCAGTCCTTATATTGACTTGGAGTGAGCCTGAACTCGTCCCAGCCTCTGCCTCCCTTGGCTTGACTTGTACCTGGAGCCTGAACACATGCCCATGGCCTGCTTGTTTCAGAATGCTGAGGCCTGGTACTTTCCCGAGTTCTCATTGGTGTGCTGCTGCTTGGGTCTGTGAGTCACGACTTTTCAACTGTGGAACATGACTTTTGAAGTTTTGACTGTGGGATGTGACTCTTGCCTCTGGGACACGACTTTTGCCTGGAGAAGTGTCCTTTGCCTGTGGGATGTGACTTTTCAATATGAGACGTGACTTTTGCTAATAGAATGCACCCTTTGCCTCTGGGATGCGACTGCTCACCTGGTGCCTGTTGGACTTGACTCCTAAGGTACCCGACTGTGACCTTTCTGAACTGGCCGACTTGGGCTCCCTTGGCCTGCGACCTTGACCCTGAAATTCGAATATGGGGTCTGCCTCGTGGCATGCCTTTCACTATCGAAAGGGGGAGTTGAACCTTAATGAGTAGCCGTCCAGCACCGCCTAGCTTATCTGCAGTGGCTGAGTACATATTCAATGCGGCCCGAGGAATCAAACGGCCGTTGAACCCAGTTGAACCCAGTTGAACCCCTGGTCAGTCTCTTTGAATGCCCGTTGACTTCAAAATGGGGGTCTTTCGGGCGGTTTCGAAAGGACACGACCGGTCCCCTGGGCACCGGACATACAGGCGACCAAGCCCGCGCAATTGGAATGGAAAAAAAAGAAAAAAGTCAACCCCCCCCCTACCCCCCTGTATACCCGTCCCCCCCCCAAGCCCCACTGAAACCATTAAACCCCCGCTGCTGCACCCCACGCCTCCTACACCCCGACAACGTCCTCTGCCACCCAACAGCCCCACACCCCATAGCACCGACGTGAAACACACCAGTAAGTCGCAGCAACCACTGCCCCCTCAATGACCCCACCGGGTGGTCAAACTCGCTGTTAGCTCCCTCCTGTGGAGAGGGGTCTGGGAGGCAGTTGAGCTGCTTGAGCACACTGTCGCCCCCTGTTCTCCAGAGGGAGACCTGCCTATGCTAGGGTTTACTCTCGATCGTTCACTCCCCCCCAGGAAAGAAACACCATCAGTTCCTTTTTCCCATTTAGTATTTAGCCTCTTCCGTACTATACTACTGTGGCTACAGGATGCGCAGAAGAAGCTGGTACAAACGCATCCTCCATGTAAAGCTTAAAGTGATGAATTAAGGATTCCATGGATTGTTTCATTTGAGAGTGTGAAGGAGGACAAAGTTTATGATCATGCCACTGGGCATTTGATTTAAGCTCAACTTCATTTGAACCCCCAGTACATCCTGCCCGTAAACAAGATGCGATTTCAGGAAACGTATTGGCCACTACAGAAAATCTAAATTCATCCAACTAGAAACTTTTCTACTCTATTTTTCCCGTGGCCGACTGGCTCAAGGTGCAAGTTTATCCAGGGTCCGCCCCTTTTCCATCCCTTCTCTACTGCAAGGCTATAGGGAGAGGGACGAAAAAGAGAAAGAGGAAAAGGCATGGGGGAAATAGACAGCAAAGAGAGAGGGAGCAGAATGCATGGGGGAAATAGACAGCAAAGAGAGAGGGAGCAGAAAATATGAAAGGGGTTGGAAACGACAGGGGGATGAGTTGATTCAGGGAGAGAGAGTCACCCAAGGAAAAACTCAAGCTTGGTAGAAGTATCATCCCCCCATGGACACACTAGGACTTTCTTGAATGTATCTGGTCACTATTGCGTGCTAGTTTCAGTTGAAACAGTTCCTGTGCAAGTAGTCCCGACTATTTTGGGTGGTTGCCTAGGCTACCAGCCGGGCCGCCCGGGTCCCGGGTGGCCAGCCCGTGCAAGGACCAGGGAAGGTCCCAGCAAAAAAAAAACAAAAAAAAAAAAAAAAAAAAAAAAAAAAAAA